TGTATGCACGGTCTCCAAGTACGCTGTAAGCAGCCATTTTCTCCTGTCATGGTTCAAAGAAGGGAGAAGCCCTCAACATCCTTGCATCATGCTCCCTTCCAGGTGGTCCAGCACAAATGTCCAAGAATCTTCCTCTGTCATCTACAATCCCCTGGAGAAGGACAGAAGAAAGACTTTCTGTTCATGTAGTCTACACCTCGCACTGGTAGCTTCTGCACCCTTATACGACACCCATCGATGGCACCAGTGACACCAGGGATGCCACAGACTCGCTGAAGAGCAAGAGCAGATGTTGCTTTCTCACAGGCATTTGGCCAGGAGACAAAGTCTGAGCCAAGTGTGCAAAGTATTTGAAGCACATCCACAATGATTTGGTGTGCCGCAGACCGGGACACATCCAATTTGTCAGACATCTCTCTAAAGCTGTTTTGGTTCGCCATGCACCACAGAAGCATCAGCACCTTCTTTGTCCCAGGAACTGGTGGCAGGCCTTGATGGTGCTCCCTGCCTACTCCATTCTCCTGCAGCTTCATCGTCCAACTTTCTGTCGGTTATTGACACTGATGCCCTCGCTCCGCTCTTGTCAGTTTCCTGCATGGATGTAGATGGCCTTCTGCATCGGTTCAGTGTGACCTGCTCTGCTACTCTGGACGCTGTTGCCCCTCTGAGACCGAGGCAGAAACCGACAACATCTGACCCTTGGCTGAATGATTGCACCCGTAGCCTCAGGCGACAGTGTAGGGTGCTGGAACGGAGGTGGAAGAGAGACAGACTGTCATGCTCCCGGCTGCTCCTGGTTGATGCACTTTCACGCTACCAGAGAGCAGTTAGATCTGCTCGTAACATCTACTTTTCTGCTATCATTTCACAGCATCATGGAGACCAGTCCAGGCTGTACAGCACAGTTAACTCCCTGCTGCTGTTAAATGAGTCTGATGGTCTAAATCCCACCGTTGTTTTGTGCACAGAGCTACAGAGCTTTTTCCTCAACAAGATCCTTGGTATTAGGCTTAGCCTCCAGCCTCAAATACACACTATCCATGTAGAACCGCCGGACCCACCTGCCTTCTCAGACTTTGCTCCAGTTCAGCTTGCTGACAACGTCCTCTGCTGCCTGCGGATAAACGGAGTAGGAAGTGCCGCCACTGTTATGGCTGGAGCCTTTTTGTGTTATGATTTCATTTTTCTGTGCATTTTTATGCTCATTTATGCTGCATCTGAGGAGCCTGCCTGCAGACCATGGCCTGTTTGCTCACCCTTGCTCCTCCCTGCACCAGCTGAGCTGGGTTTTCATCAGCCGCTGATTGCTTAAAGGAGCTGCTGGAGCTCCTCACCATCGGGGGACAATAGTGCAGAGCTGCCTTTCCTCTGGTCTGTTGTCTCCCACTTAGAACTTTGATATTGAAGAAACAGGGGTAATCTTTAGGGGTAACCTTAGATTTTGTGCTCTCTTTAGAGTTTTGTTACATTTTTAGTGTTTGAGCCCGTTTTGGTTACATGAGTTTTGATCCATGGTGGTTTCTTTTCTGGAGTAAGACAAAAAGAAAAGAGAAAAGAAAATAAAACTTTTGTTAATTTTCCTTCATGTCACGTGTCCTCCATGTTACCCCAGGCCCCCTAGGCACCTGGTTGTAACAGCCACCATCAGAGTCAGCTCTGAGGAAGTTTACAGCCACGAACAAAACTGTCAGCAAGGTAAAAAAAACCTTTTCTGTGTTTTAAAAAGAACCAAAAATGCAACGTCATACTAAAACAAGTCACTTTAGTGTTAACCCTCTCAGGCTAAAAATAAGTCTTGATTAAAGGACGCACAACTAAGTCCTTCAGGGGAACTTCTGAGGTAAAAATACTCATGAAGTACATATGTGGAGTAACCAGGTAGGTAGGTTTTTACGTTGCTAATCTGCAACGCATGCCTCTAGAGGGTTAAACAAATTATTAAATCTGAAATCAGCTTTAGTCTTCAGTTTGTTCTCAATGTGCATGGCATAACGGATGGTGGCCCTCGGTAGTTTAGAAACTCTGGATACGGCCCTGCTACTGTCTCTCATCAGAAGCGCACGAGAAGCACCACAGCTAGAGAGGAAGAAGCCTGTGGCTTTTCAAAATAAGGTAAAAATTTGAATGTTTCATGATATTTAAGTTATTTCAAACTACGATTATGGTTAGCATAAGTGCGCAAATATAGGCTATATGTGTCACTTCTTACGTTGTTGTACAGTAGTGTAACGGGTTACGATTTGTTGTGGTTGGACTTTTATGTTGAAGGGCTGTTCTTGGCCGGCAGAGTTCCGGTTCGGTTGTTTAGAAGAAAACGAGCTAGTGTGATCGGAGATCGTTAACGGTGTTTCTGCTGGAGTTAAGACGTGGGCTGCGGCCAACAGTAACCCGGAATAAAGATCCGAAACGGAAACAACAAGTTGGAGTCATTAGCATCTCTTAGAAAAGGCAACAAAAGTGTGTTTTATAGGTGTGGTGGCTTTTGTTGAGCCGTGGCGGTGCGACACGAACTAGTTTAGCCCAGCAGAAAGGCCCCGCGGCTGGCTGGACCCAGCTCGACACAGCAGCAGAGCGGTAAGCTTCATATCACTCTAAAATGTCGGCTAACTTTACTGTACACGCTCATTTACGGGCATTAGCAGCCTGCTAGCATTAGCATCCCACCTGCTAACGCTAGCACAACATGCTAGTAAAGCTAGCACCCAGATTAATGTGGATTCGGACGATTTTCGTGGAATAAAACGTGTTCTGGGAATTGTGATGAAGGCCTTTTTACACCAGATGATAACCTTCCACTGACTGTAGCAGCAGAGCGCCTGTGTGTGTTACTCCGTGAGTGTGTTGTGATGTTAGCATCCAGTAAAGAAATCCCACATCAGCTAAAGAGCAGCGCGACTAAAGGTGAAAGTGCGTCAGCACAGCGGATTTAATACGAGTTTAAAGAACAATCTCTGAGTGAAGTGAGGCTAGTTTTTGTCTCTCTGCAGATATAAAAACCAACTCTGCATCAGTCACACGCAGCTAAGCTCACTGTTGGGCAGGGCTGGATTATCAGTGCAGGGGCCCCTGGGCACAATGCTTAGCGCCCCCCCCCCCCCCCCCCCCAACATTACTGTCACCCAGTAGCACTTTTTAGACATTTCATAACACGTCAACATTAAAAATCACTTACTTATGTTCATACAAAAGCATTACCTCCAGGTCAAAATAGTTTTATAACCTAATCACAAACACTCATACCTGATGATTTTCCTATTGTGTCTCACTCATGTGTAGTGTTGTCAAAAAAATCGATTCTAAAAGTGGTATCTAAATCAGATATTCCATCCCTGTGGTATTGATATTATGGACTATTATACACAGCCTTCTTCAAGTACACCGACACGCACGACAGCCAGATGCCGTAAAGCAGCCTCCGCCTCTCAGACAAACAGAAGAAGAAGACGCCGCATGGCGACTGTACATTGCAATTTCCCACGCGAGTTGTCTCCGATCCAAGTTTTGTCTGCCAAATAAATAAACATAAACAGCGAATTTGGGAGGCGCTTCACAGCCCAACTTAATTAGCATACCAAGTCTGACGCGTAGTTGTATATTCACGCTTATGTGCTTAAAGGAAACTCCCGTTTATTGCAACCCGGACTTCATTTCTAGCATGCAGTACGTTTGTTTACTCATGCTGACAACTTTGGTGCTATTTGGATTCCCCGGGGTATCTAGATCCATCGGCGAATCCCCATCAGTGTATATCCATGTAACGGGTGCAGACGGGCACCCATGGTGCAGCCTCGAAATAAGACATTATCTGCACCAAAACATCTTCATGTTGAAAGGTTTTGTTAGGAATCATTAACGTGATTCCCCTGTTCGTTTGGAGCGGGTCTGGTCTGGGATTTCTAGGCTTGAACAGACTAGCCGCGGCTAATCTAACCGGCGCTTTTAATGACGTCACTGCCGTGCGCCAGTCTGATTTTATTAAGATTAACGGTAGATGTACCTTTGTTCTACTGTGGAGAAATTCGTTTTCTCTCTTTATTGACCAACAGAGTTGTTCAAAAGTACAGAACAAAACATATGGCATTACAGCTTATGACAAAAATGCACCTTAAACAGAGTTTAAGCAGCAAAACATCACTCTGCAAATAGTGTATATATAGTGAGACAATTCATGATTTAAAGTGTTAACTTTCACCAGTTTTTGTATGCACCTTTTAAAAAATTCTGATACTTGAAAGGTTTAAGCACTTTATACACTTAATTCTTAACATTTAATTTTTGCAATATAAATTGAGGAATGTTATTTTTTGAATAAACTTGTTCAATAAGTTGGTGTTTTTAAATAGTATCGAAATCGAGTATCGAGTTTTTTTTTCCAGTATCCGCCTTCGTCTCCCGGCAACAGACAACAACTTCCGGAGTCAGATGCGCTGCTTCGTGTCTATCGCAGATGCAGAAAATCACCAGGAGCGTTTCTCCCTTCATAAAGGAGCTTCTTTCAGACATTAGGAGAGCTGGTTTGGTGGTAGCAGTCTCTCCTCCGTGCTGGTCTGTTTGCTGCCGGGTGTTTTTGGTTTATTTAAACTTGGTAACTTGAACTTAACGTTGGTAAAGCTACTGTTGGCATTTTCGCTAACAGCTTCTTGCGTTTGGATAAGCTGTTATGTTTTGGTTTAGAGTTCATCTTTTTTGTGGTGTAGATCTCCCTTTTATTACATTTAGAGTGTTGTGGGTTTTCAGTTTAGTGTAAAATATCACCTTGAGTTTGGTTTAACCGCCCAGTTTAGAGTTTGGACCTTTGGAGATCCTTATTTTGGTCCAGAACCCTGTAATCTTTGTCCAGTGGGACATCCCTACTTATTTGTACTTTTGTTTTAATTCCCCACAGGCAGAATTAGTTTTATTATTCCCAACCTGTGATAGAGTGGGAACTCTGGAAGTTATTTGCTGATCTGACAGTATCTTCAAGATAAGGGCTCCGGTCAGAGAGCAGGGCACGGAGAGACAGTTTTACGTATTTAATGACAGTTGAAGTATGGACATCTGTACATTTCTGTGGTTCCGTGTGGTCTGGAAAATAAATACAAAGAATGATGTAAAAGGACTGTACAAATGGTGAAATAAATATGCCAACGTTTAAGACTAAGCAAAAACAAATATATTCCCAAATGATGCACATTCAAGGGTTACACAGAGTAAATATTGTGACTTCCAGGCTCAGAGGCACTGACAAATTATATGGTCTCCAGGGACCTCTGGTGGTCAAAGCAAGGTACTGCTGTTGCAAGTACCACACTACTAAACCATGCTGCCAATTAGCCTGGCATTATACCACACCTCAACTGAACTGACATCATGGATGGATACACATGGAGTAAATGGAATAAAACTCAAATAAACCAGTATTTAGCACACATAACACAAATTAAGAGAAGTGAAATGAGGACTACAAGCGAGAATAGCAACTGATACCAATTAAACTGTAGGAACTCCCTCTAAATAATCCAAACAATATGTCCAGACAGACATAAAGGAAACTGAATGAACTTATAGGTTATTTATGTATCCATAGAGGTGCTACGGTTGGCCAAACTTACATATCAGTCATGAACGCACACGCGGCTGTCTGCCATCACCAACAGCTTAGACAAAATGGTAGAAACGGCTTTACAGGAAGTGACTATCTAGAGGAAGTGATGTCACAAACTGGACCACCAAAATAAGAGTGGGGTAACTTTACAAATGTATCTTGTAAAACTGCCATAACTATAACCCTTTCTGACATAGCCGCCCCCGAATTTAGTTATAAATTCGAAAACTAGAGGAAAGTCTTATCAGGTGTTCAGCCAGAGTCATCTTCATCTTCCCAAGCTGGCAGTCGCACCAGGCACACAACTGGTCGAAGATAAGTCTGTCCCTTTATCCTCACTTCAGCTGCCCTGACTCGACCGTCTGAGCCTGGACATGTCTTGACAATCCTCCCGATCGGCCACTGGGCCCTGGGCAGTTGTGAATCGACCACCATCACAACCTGTCCAGCTGCAAGATTCTCTGTATTCTTGTGCCACTTGTGTCGCTTCTGTAGGTTAGGAAGATGGTAGCGAATAAAGTTGGACCAGAAGTGGTCTGCCAGGACCTGGCTGTGTCGCCATCGCCGTCTGCCCAGGAGTTCACTGGAACATAAATGGCTTGTGGAAGCGATGCATCACGACGTCCCATGAGTAGTAAGTTCGGGGTGACTGGGTCTGGATCAGTAGCATCCGAGGATATATATCCCAGTGGCTTCGCATTGAGAATTCCCTCCACCTCAATCAAAACCGTCTGCAGAACAGATTCTGTGACAGTTTGGTCCTGCAGTACCACTCGAAGGGCTGCCTTCACTGACTTGATCTCCCGTTCCCATGTCCCCCCAAAATGAGGGGAACCTGGCGGGTTGAATCGGAACTCTATTTTCTGTCCAGCCAGCTGCTTTTGGATAGGTGCTTCTAAAGTTTGGAAGCTGGTCTGTAGTTCAGCCGCTCCACCTCGGAAATTGGTCCCTCTGTCGGCCAGGATTTCAAAGGGCTTGCCACGTCGAGCGATGAAGCGACGTAATCCCATCAGAAAAGCATCAGTGTCAATGCTCTCCAGCAGGTCGATGTGCACACAACTCGTTGTCATGCATTTAAAGATGATCCCCCATCGCTTCTCTGTGCGTCGACCCACCTTGATATTGTAAGGGCCGAAGCAGTCCACTCCGGTAGACCAGAAAGGTGGCTTGTATAGACGGAGTCTTGCTGGGGGAAGGTCTGCCATTTGTGGGACTACAGGACTAGCACGCCACTTTTGACATTCCACACAGCTGTACTGATGCCGTTTGATGGATTCTCCTCCGCGTAGGATCCAGTATCTTCTCCGAATTTCAGCGAACACACGCTCGGGACCTGGATGCAGGAGCTGGTTGTCATATTTCTTGATGAGGAGCCTGGTAGCATGATGTTTTGGGTCAAGGATAATTGGATGCATGGAATCTAGATCCAGATCTTCTGCTCTTCGCAGCCTGCCTCCCACTCTTATCAGCCCGACAGCTATATCATACTCAGGAGCAAGCATGATTAGACGGCTTTGTTTGGAGATGGACTTCCCCACAGCAAGGAGTTTCACCTCTTCCTGGAAGGTCTCACTTTGGGATTGTCGTAGGAGATGTAGTTCAGCTTCTTGTACATCTGCAGCTGTCATGGTGGGGCTCACCAGGTCTTTGGCCGCCCCGTGAAGGCTCATATGAGTGGCTCTAACGAGGTCATCCCAGTTGTCGATGTTAGTAACATCCACTTCATGAGAAGGACAGGTAGCTGCTGCACAAAACACTGTCTTGCGTAGCTCATCCTCATCTTCTTCCTGAGCTACTTCCATTTGTAGCTCTGGCCAGGTGTCAATAGGCTGGTGAAGAAATTGTGGACCCTGACTCCACCGGTTGGGCTGACTGAGCTCATGGAGTGTCTTCCCGCGGGTAAGGTCATCTGCTGGATTATCAGAGGTGCTGACATACCGCCAAGTTGACCCTTCGGTAAGTTCTTGAATTTCAGCAACCCTCGTTCCAACAAAAACCTTGTATCGACTTGAGTCTGATTTCAGCCATGTCAACACTGTAGTTGAGTCGGTCCATAGTGTTATCTGCTGGGGAGAGAATGACAGCTCTGTCATTGTGACCTTAGCCAGCTGAGCCCCGGCTAGAGCTGCGCACAATTCAAGGCGTGGCATTGACAGCTGTTTCCGAGGGCAAACACGAGATCTAGCCATCATAAATGCAATGTGAACATTGCCCTGGTTATCGGGAGTTTGAATATACTCGACTGCTCCGTAGGCTCTTTCGGAGGCATCGCAGAAGATGTGCGCTTGTCTGTTAGGCACTTCAGGGGCCAAGGTTGCTGGAACATAGCATCTTGGGATTTCCACTTGTGGGAGGTAGACCAGCTCGCTCTCCCATTGTGTCCATATTTCCAGTAGAGCCTTGGGTCGAATCTGCTCATCCCAGTCGACTCCCACTTTCCACAGGTCCTGGATGAGGATCTTGGCTCGAGTGGTGAATGGGATAAGATACCCCAGTGGGTCATACTGCGTGGCCATCACCTTGTAGATGTTTCTCAGGGTCGGCTGAGAATACTCTACCGGTCGGTGTCTGTAGCCGAGGTGATCAGAGAGGCAGTTCCAACGTAGGCCTAAAGCTGGTTCCTCTGGGTCTTGTCGGGATTGGGAAAGCCACAGCTCGGAACTAGCCGCTTTGGCTTCAGCAGGAAGGTGTTCCAAAACAGTTGGATCGTTGCTGGCCCACTGCCTTATATCGAACCCTCCAGCAGAGAGCAGACTGCGCAGTCGGTCAACTAGGGCTTTAGCTTTATCAGCAGTGGTGATGCTTGTTAGACAGTTGACCACATAAAATGCGCTTTCAACTGTATGCAGGATGTCTTCATGCCCCTTACTGTTGTCCTTCACATGCCTCTGGAGGGCATATGTTGCACAGCAAGGACTGCACGTTGTTCCAAATGGCAGAACCTGCCACTCATATACAGTCGGTTCCTCCTCTCTCTTCATACCTCTCCACAAGAAACGGAGCAGCGGTTTGTCTTCTGGTAGTAAGCAAACTTGGTGGAACATTGCTTTGATGTCACCGCTGGCAGCCACACTGTGTTCTCGGAACCGAAGAAGTACGCCGAGAAGTGAAGGACCTAGGGTCGGCCCGGGCAGGAGCTGGCTGTTTAGACAGTGTCCATTGTGTTGGTAGGAACAGTTGTAGACAATTCTTGCCTTTCCATTATGGTGGACAGCATGGTGAGGCAGATACCATGACTCCTGGGAGCTGTCTACTGTAGCTGAAGGAAGGGGTTTGGCATAACCTAACTGTTCAAGTTTATGGATTTCTTGACAGTAGGTATCTGCCAGAGCTGGATCTTTAGCTAGACGACGTTCAGTACTACGTAGCTGTGGGAGCAAAGTGTTCTTTGATGCCCAGAGGAGGGGACTATCCTTGCGCCTGAGAAGTGGAGTAGCATATCTAGTCACTCCATCCACTTCCACTTTAGTGGTGCGTTGCTCTAACAGGTCCACAGCCTGTTGATCCTCTTTAGAACGCGTGGCAGTCTTTATGTTCACATAAGGCGAGATGTCAACTTCCCACAGACGTTCTACATGGCGCTGGAGCTCTGAGTTGGGAGACGTGGTGAAGTAGCAGTGTGGGTGGTCAGCAGAAACAGGACTGAAGTTGGCTGGGCCTTGTAATGTCCAACCAAGAGGAGTGCACACTGCTAGGGGGCTCCCAGGTGGGCCAGCTATTACTGGTTGCCTAGGGATGAGTAGATGAGGGAAATCAGACCCAATAAGAAGTAAAGGCTGCACTCTGTCCACAAGTGGAAGTGGAAGTCCTCCCAGATGGGAGTACTTTCGCATGAGTGACTTTACAGGGTAGCTGTGTTCTGAGAGACTTAGTTCATCAGCAGTGAAGGCATGGTGAATGCTGTACTTTACTTTGGGAGTGTGAACTGGAGATATTTCAAATGAAACTGTTGCTCCCTGAAGGTGAATCACCTCATGGCGGACAGTGCGCAGGGGAAGGTTTTCAGGCTTTTTAGTCAGATGGAGGCATCGCACTGCTGATGGGAGGATAAGAGTCCTCTCGGACCCGTCATCGAGGATAGCAAAGCCTTCCAGGGAATACTCAGCATTGTGTAGACATACTTTGACCAACTTGAGCATGACTTTATTTGGGCGATTTGGACGGTCAATGTACACTGTATTGGGAGCAGCGTTGACCATTAACACCTTTTTAGGTTCTTGAGGGCACACGTCATGGAGCACAGTAAGATGTTGTTGCTTACATAATTTACAGGGCTTCTTTAGAGTGCAAACCTCAGGTGCATGATTCCTGCCGCACCGCCAGCAGCTTCTGTGTTTGATCCATGTGGCAATTTCAGCTGCTGAAAGAGCTTTGAATTTAGGACACAGGCTCAGGTAATGTCCTCTGTCGTCACAATAAGGGCAGTAAGGTTTAGGACCTGATTTAGGCTTAGGTGATCTTATATGGCCAGCTGGATCTGGAGGTGTGGCTTTAGCCTGGCTCTCTGTGTTGTAGTACACATTGGATGAAGGACCTTGAGGTTTCTTCTGATTCCTCAGCTTTGGTTGATCTTGACACATGTACGCTGCTCTAGCGGCGATTCGCTTGGCTTGTGATTTCAACTGGAGCCATGTGGAGAAATCTGACAGGGTATAAGTCTTATCAGTCCCAGTTGTCAGAATGCCACGATTCAAGCTATACTCAACAAAGCTGTCTCTGTAGTTAGCGGGCAATTTGTTAAGTAGCCTATCAACATGAGAGCCACATTTGAGTTCGTAGCCATTTTCACCCTCTAGCGATCGGAGCATGCCTACTAAAGCTTGTACTGAGAGGGCAAAATTGTCAAATCCATCTGGATCACCAACCCTAACTGGAGGTAAGTTTAGGATGGCTCATAGCTCACTTTGCACAAGCAGGCGGGATTGCCCGTATTTATCTTGAAGTGCCTGTAGGGCCGATGTGTATGGTTTCGGGTCATACATAAAGGCTTGTGCTAGCTTGTGAGCACTAGGCAGCTTCAAATGCTGCAACAACACTTGATATTTAAATGGTTCGGTGAGGTGAGCATGTGAGCTTAGCAGGTTATCTAGAGCCATCTTGAGCAGTGCAAAGTCTGCCTCTCTTCCAGATGTGAAGTAGGGTAAAGCAGGCTTAGGAAGTCCATATGAAGTAGCTATTAATAGCTCCATTAGGTCTGTACTAGGTGCAGCGATTGAGCCTGGAGGAGGAGCTGTCTCTTGTGGCAAAGGTGGTATGCTGGGAGGAGAGTGATGCTGCAGGGCTGCATCAGGTTGTACTGGCTGTTGTTGTGAATAAGACCAGGGTACATGCTGATGTGGAGCCTGGTTATAGACTGCTGGTAGCGTGTTTAGGGGAGCAGTGGACTGCACTGTTAAGGCTGGTGGTCCAGCACGAGGTAATATAGCACCAACTGATAGTGTCGTACCAGGCTGAGGGATGGTATGTGCTGTGGTGGGCGGAGCTATCGTGGAGTATGTGAATTGTGGCTGGGTCGGCAGGTTTACCATGGCAGGAGGTTGCGGTTGAAGGACAGGTGAAGCTCTAGTTGTTAATTGGCTTGTT